TATATATATATCTGACGCCTTGAAATTGGCCTCTGTCTCTTTAAGAACCGTTTCCGACACTCCTCTTTCATGTCGTCATCTCAACAATGCTTCTCCATGCCGTCCATTGATGCAGTTTACAACCGTTTTCTTGGAGCGTTGCTGTTTGATAAGCTCAGTAGTTCCACCAGGTGTTTGCTGCTGCTGCTAGTCTGGAGGAGCGGAGTGGGGAGATGAAGCTGCAAGGAGGAGCTTTAGGGAAATAGGGGGGGTGCTTTTGGTTGCTACGGGAGATTCAAGGATTTCTCAAACATGCTAGATGGTGTCAAAGTAACAAAAGTGTTTGAGGGAATAATAATACAACATAGTAAAATTCTCAAAAAAGTCAATTTTGCGTAATGTCCATAAACTTGCATGGATTTTATAATGAATTCACTTATTTTTATTTTTTTCCATGGATCATATGTAAAATTTGAAAGAAAATGCAGCTCCGGAAGCGTGAATTTGCAAAGCAGCCACTGCAGGAATGCCGTTTATCCTCCTTTGCGTTGATATACTGCGCTGCTTAATAACTGTGGCCACAAATGGCTTGGAGCACAATCCCTTCTTAAATCCTGGAGACAAGATTCCTCCACATTTCATTTCTCTGAGACGCTCCTAAGTGAGGTGGCGGCACGTAAAACCAGCCTCAACTACCAGCTGTAATTTACATGTAAAATCCCACTCCCATCCAACAGGGTTATAAACCACTTTATTGATTTTATACACTATTATTAAAAAAGGAATGCAGATGTGCTCTGAATTTCAATAGCTGCTGTAAACTCAGAGGAACTCTGGGTTTAAATGCATCAAAAAGCAGGAAGTCACTAACTTTAACTATCCTAAAGGCAGGAGATGCTCTTTACATTTATGCATCAAATATAATGTCAACTTTGAGTAAATATTCAATAAACCTGTTTGTGATACAAACGTGATGCCACTGTATTCTTTTAAGATTGAAAAAACTTTCTTGCCACCCTTCTTCTGTCTTTCTGGTTTTCTTGACATGAGCATTAATATTTAACTCTCTATCTGAGGCCCTTAGATTCGGAGAAGAGGTCCGACAGTGGAATGTTTTCTGGAACATCCGCTTCTGTGAAAATTGGCAGCTGTCGGATGTTTTCCGTCTCCGTGGATAAAACTTTCTCGCTGAAGAGTGAAGGATTTCAGATCGCATGTTTTATGATTTCGCACGTCTTAATTTTCCCGTCTGGCAAACAACACGTGAAATTTGATTGCAATATTTTCCAAGTTTCATAAGTGTGAAATGTATCTTTCAAGGTCGAACAAGATTTGAAAAACATATATATTTTATTTGACCTTTATTTATACAGGTTGTCTCATTGAGATCCTGGACCTGTTTTGACAAAACAAACATATTTCAAACTTTCTCGCTTGTTTCTTTCCCTTTTACTTCGACCTTCTAATACAGAGGAACTCTGGCTACTTTAACATCATGTCTCCTACTTCACCCATGAATCTGCTGCAGAACCTGAAAGCTCCTTTTATTGACCAACTCCTCCATCCTGGGTGTAGGAGCACCTGCAGGATATCATCTGAGGCTACACACATAACTATCATTGCACCTAATAAATAAGCAAACGCAGCCGCATCTCCAACATGCATGAGCCGCACAAACCGAATCCACTCAAATATGATGCAGGAAAGTGATGCAGATGACACAGAAACAGCAGATCTGATCCACACGACGCCCGATGCGCCCCGCACAATGAGACACACATGCACACTTATGCAAATTACATGAAATAATAAAGGCAGAAAAACAAAGCCTACCCATGTGATCCATGGGAGGAAGAGGACAGAGGTTCCCAGGTTCAGGTGGTTTATCTGAAACTTCCAGAGGAGGAAGAGATGAAGTGATGACGTTTTCTTAATTTCTACTTTTTTTGATAAACATTTTGACTGAATTTAGCTGTTAACTCTCTCAGCTTAGCGTGACGCTGGAGAAGTGCGCGGCAGGTGTCACGGTCAGTCAGTGGAGAAGCTATGGGGTGTCCCGTCAGCTCTTCAGTTACCAAACGGAGAAAAAACAACCTTGTAAAAGGTTCAGCTGGGGTTCAGTCAACCCCCCTTACAAGTCTGCTTATTCATTTTTAGCTAGCTTCACTGCATCGTCACATTTAGCTTACAGAAAGAGCGCCACGCCGCCAAATAAAATAAACTGACCAATAACATTCAGGTTTAGGACGGGCATGTTTTATATCTGCTGTTATCTGCACAACCTCCTTTTAATTTTGCAGTTTTTCTCCTCTTATAATCTGTTTTTATCCACATTTTTCTTCCTTTACATTCCCCAGTTAAACATTTTTTAGTATTATTTCTGTTGTGTTAAAACTTCGCCCTAAATGTTATACCTTTTACCTTTGAGTGAATATGAATTATTCCACTTACTTCTGACTGTATTCTGGTAAATCAGGGTTTTTTCTATGTCCCTTTTCATTGGTCGTGTCTTTTTTCCCATCTCACTCACTTTAAATCCTACTTTCTACTTTTCCTTACTTGTATCTTTTTTTTGTTGTTGTTGTTGTTGTTGTTTTTGTTTTACAAAAAGGAAACATTTACTTTTCTACTCCATAAATTTAATCAGGAATCTCCAAAGAGGGATTCAGAAGGTGCATTAATCTGATTTAAAATGGTTCCCTTTAAATCCACGGAGGGCAGAAAGGAAAGAATATGAAACCAGCAACACAAGCTACTCGACTGGAGAGGAAAATACCTGCTGGGAATATCAGTTTTGCCCTAATCATGTTGTGTCACACACAAACAGAACAGCTATTTAGCGGCATTACATGATGCATAGCACACATTGATTAAATGTGAAGCAGTACATTAATCATGCCCGATGTATGATTCCTGCTTTCCCTCCGCCGTGCCATCGAAAGCCAGTGGAAAAGCGCCTTGAGCAAACCCAAGGCAGCAACATTAAGGGAGATATCATGATTTTACTTCGCTGACAAAGAGACTCAGGGGGGACATCACTTTTAAGAACAATTACTTTGAGTAAAGCCAGAATAATGAATGAAGGCTGCTTAAGCGGCGGAAAGATTTCCCTCGATTTTCTTTATGGCCGCTAAATTGTTATCAGATTTCTTCCCCACCTTCTTTTAATTACTGTTATCCGAACGTCCGCGACGATAAACGCACAGACAAGAGCGCCTTCGAGTTCAAAAGATCATTTTAATTTCTTCGCCGCGTCTCGCCGGGCTCTGAGCCGTTACGTTCCTCCGCTTTCCCATTAAGCGGGAAAATTGCGGGTATATGTTAGCGAGCCAACTTGGACCCATCAAATATTCAGCAGGTGCAGCGGTTCTCCACCCGGGTTCACCGTTCGCCGCAGATCAGCTCTTCTACTCCACACACATGCTTTAGAAAGCCTTAAAAACGTCACCGCGGTTTTATACATTCCTCATCTCTCTCTTCCTCTCGCTGGCTGAACGCATGTTGCACATACCGGCTCTACGTGGCCAATAAAAATGTCAATTCGTGTAACTTAACGACGGCACGAAGCGATAGCTTTTAAGCTATGCAGCAAAAACACTTTAAAAGCATCTAATTCTGTGCCTTCAACACTGACAGTTTAATTTGTCCTATAATCACTCAGAGCAGTTAAGCTGAGGCTCACAATTGTAGAAATTGCCGCAGTTTACAAAGCCATGCTGTGTTATAGAAGAACTCTTCATTACGTGCGATTTTTTACTCAACGGGGTTCGGCAAAGTATTTAAGTGCCTGGAAATGTTCGAGTTTTCTGTTTTTTTAAATGTTTTTTCTTTATTTTATGTGATAAACCAACAAAACATTGTGAATAATTGTGAACTACAATTCTTTAAAAGTCTGAAAAGTGATTGAGACTCCTCAATAAAACCCAAATGATTTTCTGATTGGTAAACAAGATCCACTTGTGTGTGTTTAATCTCTAAATCCAGCTGTTCTGTAAATGTCTCAGGTGGTCAAGGAGAACTTTAAAGCAGGCTGAGGCCATAAAACAATATCTACATGCTTTGAACATCAACAAACATGGTGAGAAAGGTGATAAAATTGTCCAAAAATGTAAAAAGATCAAGATCCAAGAATAATTTCGCAGCAAATAACTGTTTAATTTTTGTCATTTCTACTAATTCAAACAAAATGCATGTTCTTTTCACAGAAAACGAGACCTGGAATGTGAAATATTGCGTTCCCCTGCCCTCAGTTTAATATAGACATCAATTAAAGACCTGCCACATCATCCTGCAGCAGCGCCGCCTGTCTCCCCGGCTCCCTCTGACTCTTTATCACAGCGTTTCAAACCGTTGTCAGTTTCAGGCCCATCTTTCTCCCCAGCGCTCATTTCTTCTGTCTTAGATTTCTCATCCCTCAGCTCTGTAATTTTGTCTGCCTTTCCAGCCTTCTCTCACATTTTTTTTCTGTTTTCATTTCATGCTTTGCTCCCATGGAGTCTGAAAGCGAGAAAAAGTACCACTTATATGTAGCCAACCAGAAGTTTACATAAGTAACAAATGCATTGTGACACATTTCCATTTTTTTCTCTATCTTTTCTTGTTTTATGTCAGTCAGAATTACCAAAATTATTTCTATTTGCTAAATTGTCTTCAAAATTAGAAGTTTAATCAACATAAATTCAATCAAGCCTCCTGATGCTTAAAATAGAAGCCACTTATTAACATATCAGGAAAAAAAGATGAAGAAATATACATATCTACATACATCTTCAACATAAAAGAAAGAAAAAAGGCATTACATTAAATTGAGAGAGGGCTAAATTTGCCAAGAGGTGATAAGGAAGCTATATAAAACAAGCTTATATATCTTGCTGAAAATGTACTTTTGAGTTAGTTTGTTTAATTTCAAGTTTAATAAGACATTTGCTCTTGAAACTAGACCAAATTACTTTGAAGAATTTGTGTTTTTGCAGCGATGAAGTTCCTGTTTAACAGTTTAACTAGTTTATACAAACCATAAAGGCTCAGATTTCAGTCTTGTCTTGGCTAAATGAGAAATATCCTTCCAAATTCAGGCTTTTGTAAACATTTAGACTTTCCTACGAGCAAAACTAAAGTATGTTTGAACAATTGGGCAACTTTAACTTATTATTTATGTCTTGTGTTGTCCGTTAATTATCTGTGTTGCCAGAAGAACGCTAGTAGATTTGTCTAAACTCTCTAAAGTCTTTGTAAAAATAAGAAAAACTCTCATAATCCTGCCAAACAAGGATGTCTTGGGGGGTGGGAGGACATCCTCCATTAAATCCGAATTTTAAGTAGTATATGCTAGTTTTTCAGGAGTTACTGTCATTTTACCTTCTTTTTTTTCTGCTGCACCATTAAAATGTGAGTTATATCTTTAGCCCCGTTTTGTTTTGAAGGACTGGGCTAAGGAGGAGTTCAGCGGCGGCTGCCCCGTCAGTGTCATGGCACCCGGTCTGCTAACGTTTTACCATCCGAGCCTGAGGAAGCCCTGTGGCAGGTAATCACCCCGCTGATGACAAACACAATCACACCTCTGCTTCTCCAACTCCTCCAAATGTCTCGTCTTCTTCTGCACTCTCACTCGGACAAACCATGGAGACGAAGAAGAAAATCCTAAATCTTACGAGTAATTTTTTGGAGTTTATTATTTAATGAGATTCGCTCGTTGGCTGCTGACAGGTTGAGAGATAGTCAATGTATTTCCTGGTTGTTTATTCTATTCTTACACCACAGAAACCATTTTAATTCCTCCACAACTCAAATGAAGAGTTCCTTGAATTATAGCGTGCTTGTCCAGATCAAAAAAAAAAAAATAAAAGAGGTCATCAGAAGATTTATTCCTTGAAGAAAATGTCCCATAATCCATTTCTAATGGCCTGTTCAAGGATGCACAGGACTGAGTAAACGAGAGCGACTGGAAGGTAAGGGGGTTCGGGTAATGCATTTCTATAATGACATCCAGTCTGCGGGGAGCAGGAGACACTCGTTGCGTAACGTGACTGAAACAGCAGCGAGGGGATGGCGGCCCCTCATTGGCATTCTGTCCCTGCGTGACAAATGAATCCCCAGAGACGTGCTGCGACCTTGACCGCGTCCAGCACCAGGATGATACCTCCTTTAATTGCTGGAGAAATGACGATATTAGCCTGTAGATGTGCGGTTTGATTTGAGATCCTTTGTATCTCATTAGGGGCTACATTACGCTTTCTGTAATAAGCCTAATAGACTCGGACGGTTTGTCGGGCTCCTCGGCTCTGAGATGTTTACAGAGAATGAAGGCACCTGTGGGATCCTATAGTAATTCTCCTAATCCTTGATTCGCAGTGACCCTGAGTTTAGACCTGCAGTAATGATGTTTCTGTTTTTTTAAAAGATAAATCTACATTCACCAAGGTTTAGATTCACTTCACTGCTTCTTAGAAAATACAGTCTACTTAGCAACACAGAACAACTGGATCAAACATTTAGTTTTATACTTACTAACCCTGAACAGGAATCATATATGGAGAACCAATATTTAGCTTTTTTTTTTGTTTGGTTTGTATTTCGTTCTAGTTTGTGTGAAGCACTTTGAACTGCCTTGTTGCTGAAAATGTGCCACTTAAATAAAAATACCTTTACCTTCTTCAAGTTTAGCAACACTATCCTAAATATTAAGGTATATTTGGTGTTAAAATAGGAAGTATTAATGTTTTTTCAGGCCGGTTTCAAGTAATTTTAGTTATTTGTTAGGGAACTGAAAAATTTTTTAATTCTGCTTCCAAAAAAATATGGGGAATCACAGTTAATTGATGATTTAATAATTGAAGTGAATACTCTTTTATATAAATGCCAGTTGGTTTGGATCTCTCAGGATAAATCGCATTCAAAATCTTTTCTTCTGCATGTTTTTCTTTGAGTTAAAAATTTGTTTGATAAAATCAAGTGTATTTGGAAATGAATTATTATCTTGGATCTGACATTTGTAACACATTTTAGACATTGCACCCATTATTTTTACATGCATTTGTCCATATCATGATATTTCATCTGTTTAAACTTCCCAGAGCCTCTTACAGAACATTTCCAGTTATCTCTGCTTTAATATCAAAACACCATCTGCAGACTAAGATATTGTACCCGAGCTTAGAAATAAATGTCTTCACAGTATTCTTCCTTTACAAGGTTACAGCACTATGCTTCGAATACCAAGAACAAGAGCTCCACCGGGCTCCAAAATATGGGCAGGCCTTTACAGTGCATCAAAAATGTAAGAGTCGAGGTCTCCCAAGTGAACTGCAAACAAAATGAAACGCACTGAGCCAAGAGCTAAACAAAACTTAAACATGGAACGGGCAACAGCTGCTAAATGTTGCACAAATCTTTTACAGCTTCTGGAATGACAATTATTCAGTTCCTTGTACAATTTTCATGAAACACTTTCAGCACATTCTCTTCATGCCAACACGTTTGCTCCAAAACAAATGTAAAAGCAATTAAACGGAGTAACGGTAATGATTTGTTTTCAGGCTTGTGGGGAAGCAAAAATGGTGAAACGGCTTGTAAGGAAGTTCAATGCAGAGGAATTTACTAAGGCAGCATTTTACCAAGTGAGTGGAAATGTCCACATTTAATCATGAATTTACAGAATTAAATTATCTGAAAAAGCAACAATCATAGAAAATCCCACTGCTGGTTTTTGACCTTAACTCTAAGCGAACTTGGATTATGCCACTGGAGAGTAACGCGAAGCACACCTGTTTGGAAGTGGCCTAGTCAAATTCTGGGCTTATCTGTAATATATTTTTCCACAACACTGTGCTTATAACACAGATATGAAAGGCAATATAAACCAAATGATTAGCACATCATTATTTAGTCCAAAAGTCAAACATTTTCTCTTTAGCACTGAAGGAATTGTACTTAAGAAGGACACTAATTAAACTGGTATTGTGAATTAAGTAGTGTCCAGTTTATCTGCACAATTTAGCATTCTGGGCTCTAGTGAACAAACCTAATTACATCCTTTTGGTCAGACAACTTCCTTAACTTTACAGCAAAAAACAAGAGTTAAAAACTGTAGTTTTATTTAAAGGGATCCAATGCTGGCCTAAATATGCAGTAATTTTTCTATTATTCAAAAAATTGCTGCTTGTGATGCATCAAAACTCATAATTACTTCAGAAATGTATCTTTTTTGCTTATATTTTTCACCTATGGAGGTCGCCATTTTTAAACATGCTGGGTTGATGACAAGTTTTGATCCATTCTGTACTGGAATCTACAGAGTAAACACAGGCAGGCTAACTTCACCTGACTTTGTGTATCATATTGTGTTTGACTGGTGTATTTTTAGACAATGCCACACTGTGTCACTGTTGGCTATAATAAAAAAAAACAAAATAAAAAAAACAGTGAGGTGAATCTGGATGCTTCCAACACAAAAAGAAGAAGAGTGCAGTCTGACAGAACATCGGAGCCGAACAACTTCCAAAGATCTGTGCCCTCAACATTTCTCTCCAGAAGACTCAAACAAGTCATTTCTATGAGAAAACTGACGAAGCCTCTAACAGGTGATCGTTCCCTTAATGAGCTAAAAACAAATGAAGTGCCAACAGTTTCTATCTACAAAGCACCTAAACCCCGCTGCCGTTGGAGTGAAAAATCCTGGGAGAAACATCAGACAGACCGCAGTGGAAGCTCTTTAAATGGAGCTCTGTGCCGCCCCAATGAAGACCGGACCGGACACAGGGCTATAGAAATACTTAATGGATCACACAGCTGGACCAGAGCACAACGCAACTTCCGAAGGACCTGCATTTTTTTTATCTCAACATTTCTCTCCAGAAGACGTTGAGTCATTTGTACGAGCAAATCTGACAAAGGCTCCAACAGGTGATCGTTACCTTAGTGGCTAAATCCCACTGCCACCAGAGCGCTGGACGATCTTTGAGTGCTAATGGATCTGTACACCAGTAGTACCAGCAGCACTACTGCCACCTCAACGAAGACCGGACCAGACATGGAGCTACAGAAGGACTTATCGACCAGAGGTACGTGTCATTCATTGTTTCGTTTATGAAGCTGAAGGCAGCAGCAGCAGCAAACACCAGCTCCTTTGGCCAACTCTGTCCACTTCCTCAGTTTGGTCCTCCTCATCTTCATAACCTCTTGTGATTCCTACATTTCCGTTGATTTCAATGCGCTCCGGTTCATTTTGAAAAGGCTTAATGACTTTACTCATGCTGTTTTGGCTGGACGCCATTAGTCCAGTTGGACCATTAGGCATCATTTACCCACAATTCATTGCAGCATGAACAACATGGCGATGTTCGTGTGATGATATTTTATTAAAATTTATAATAATTAAGCAGCCTACAGTATTATTACTGTATTGTTTTTTCATCTAAAATAAATATTTCTCAAAGTCTGTTGCTGCAACTCATCACATATTCAGACTAAATACAGAATGAATTAATTTATTTTTCACAGCTGTGTGATGGACGATGTATATAATTCTGTCCTTGGGGGATGTCAGGTAACCTGTGGAAGACTTTAACAAGCAGCACACTTGCAAACAAAGCTTCTTAACATTTCCCCCAAAGTTCAAGGTGTTCTGTTGATGAAGTCCCTTGTTGGGCCTATTAGGAAGTAAAAATGCTTAGAAAAACATCCTCGCTGCAACTTACTGACCATTTGTTTACATGGCTACTCTCCGTTTTTATTCATCTTGATCCCGTTTTGTACTCCTGTAGCTTTTCTCTTACATCCAGCTGCACCGCCGCAGACGAGATGGCAAAGCTGTTTGCAGCAGAGACCGCAAACTCCCTGCTCAGAAAATATAAATTAATCATAGCCAGGCGTTGTGGGGGTGGCTTTCGGACTACAGGTTAGTTTTGTGGTCTGGTGTCGGTCTGCACTCATGGGAATTAATTTGTCCCTTACCTTACCTCTTTCCTTTAAATAATAAATCAAATGAGTGTCCTCTTTTTTTATTCTGGCTACAGAGACGATGCATAAGCAAGAATAGAAGGTGTCCTCTTGAGTATTTGCAGCAAAAAAATTCAGATTATACACAAACACACATTGCACAGCTGCTGCAGAGTTCGCTGCAACAGTTGCTCATGTGGGAAGCTAACTTGTGCTCTGACGTAGACCAATCAGGTGTGGAGAGAGCCGGATTGGCTCCGACAGCTAGTTTTGGGAAAGGAGGTAAAATACACTACAGAATGCATGCAAATGATCTGCATATGATGAAAACAGTCATCTGTGAGAAAACCAACAGAGGCGCGGCTGCCAGCACGCTGATGGAGGCAGCATGTTCCTGCCGCAGGGCATGTGAACCACTCACCATCAGGAGGATAGATTTTCCTTTTCAACGTTTGCTGTGTTTTCACAGGTGGAAGAAAATATTTGCGCTGCGGTTATTAAGTCATCACCACTACATTTCGACTCGGGTGCTTTCTGCAAAGAACTTTAACAGGCTCTGACTGACTGGAGCCGACCTCAAAGGGAAATCGGACGAGGCAAAGCCATCATAATAAGAATTGATTTCAGCAACAAAAACATGGAAACACTTTGATTATATACCATCGGAGCAGAAAGTTCTGCGGAGTTCCAGACAGTCTACAGCTTTATACATTTTCACTTTATTAACTCCAAGTCATGCACAGAAAAGGGCAACTTCTCACCATTTTGCTTTATTATCAACACACACTGACATGAAGGACCTCGAAGGTCCTGCAGTTCTTTAATTTCTTCCTGCTGCCACGAGAAAATGTCCTTATTCTTTTAGTAATAACGACAGACTTGATTTTGCTTGTGCTTTTAGTTATAGGAACAAAGAACTTCATTATGAATCATAAAGATGGTAATCAAAAAAGATTTGAGGAAGGACAAAGGCTTCTGCATGTGTACTAACTAACCTAAACACAAGTGAAAGGGAAATGAATGGAGATTTTTATTAAAAAAGACATTCATCACCATTCAAAAGTGTTCATTGCCTTCGAAATGTAGATTTTATCTTTAAAACCACACACTTCAATATATTCATTGGGATTTTATGTAATAATAGACACAAAGCAGTGGACTATTGTAAATAGACAAGGATACATGGGTGGTAATATGTATTTGTCATCATAATTAAGAAACTGTTACCTTCAGTCGCTATAAAAAATTCAGTATATACCAAACATAACTTAAAAAAAATATGAGTTTGTGATTTGACATCTTGAAATTGGTCTCTGCCTCTTTAAGAAGCTTCTGCTCTTTCCGAGACTCAGTAGACCATCACAACACGTCTCTATTATGCTGTTTACAATCATTTTTATTAGCTTTGGGCTGAGAAGTTGTTCCTATGATGATCTCAGGAGACATGCAGGTCCACCAGGTGCCTGCTAATTGCTGCTGCCGCTAGTCTGGAGGGGCTGAGTGGGAAATTCAAAAATGTGGTTTCGCAAAACATTCAAGTGATAATTGGTCATTCAGAAACATTTTCCAACCACATTTCTTCCTCATTGATTATCTGTCAGTGTGTTGGTCAGTTCTTAACCCAATTATACTAGTTTGACCATTTTCCTTAGATGTTTTCTCCTCTTTATGCCAATAATTTGAGCATCTTCTCCACGACCACAGGATGCCTTTCCTCATCACTTTTTATCACTGCTCATTGCATCAACTTGTTGCCAGCTGGAAGACGGTTGTTTAGACAGCATGAGTGTCTTCAGTCTGAACTTAAATGGAATAAATAAACAAAAAAAAATTTTTTGTTTCTTTTGCTGAACTTACCTTGTCAGCAGTTTAAATGGAACATTTGATTTTCTTAACTTATTACTTCCAACCTTTGTGCACTAAACATATATTAAAATAAGACAATGTCAGGTTTTTACTCCAAGTATATCTGCTGTTGCTAGCATGAACCGGCTTTTTAACAGTAATTTATCTAACTTCTGGAGGAGTAAATCAACATTTCAAGTTGCAAATGGTCCAGCTGAACACAGCGGGTTCTGTCACCAACTAATTGGTTGCAAGTATGTATTATTTCAGCTATTTGGCACAACAACAATTTAAACCAGGAAAAGATGGTTCACAGATTTTACTCAAAGACAACAGAGGATGTGCTCTTGCAAAAATAAGATTATTACTTGCTGCTCACCCTTCTTTGTAAAACCCTGACTTGAAAAAAGTTCAGAACCTTTTTGCCCAGAGGGCAGGAGGAAGAAGACAGGATGTAAAGGTGGAGCATATTGTCCTATAGGTGGCACATTAATTAAAATGAAAAGAGATTTCTCTGCAGTAACAGAGCAGCAGAGGACATATGAAGTGGATAATAACTGATTTGGTGGGTTTTGCTTGTAGCATCTCCAGCTGGTAACATACATGGAACATGCACAGTTTGTGTTACATGCTGCTGTATGTTTCATACTGCATGTGATTGCATGGTAGAGGTGGACAGATCGATTCGAAATATCAATATAATCAATACCATGTCGGTATCGGTATTGGATCTAAACTAGTTTGGTAAAATTGATGCTTTTTCCTCTTAAATTACTTCATTTTTCTACTGTAATTTCTCAGATCTACCCTGAAAAGGTTTTGTTTTGCTCTTCAGTAGTATTTTTTTTAGAATGCCTAAAAATGTATTTTGCTTTTCTGTTGTATTTATCATTTCACTCTGTTTGAATAATTTTGTAGGAGGCTATAACTTCTGTCCCTATCCTGTTTGATAAAAAAAAAATCAGAAGAAAAGCCACAAGAACACCCAAAGGTCAGAAATTTAATGCTATGTGAAACCTCAATAATAAAACATCATATTGTTGATACAGTATCTGTATCAACAATACTGGCTCTATATTTACTTTGTTGGATCAATACCAAAATGTGCAGCATCGCATACATGTCTGTTTCATGGTTATGCACTGACATCTTGCAAATCTTTAAGACCCTGTTTCACATTTTACTTTTCTCAAACGGATATTATTGGGAATTTATGCCACTAACTCAAAGTAGTGCATAATTGTGAAGTTGTTAGCAGCCTGTAGCAGTTTATCTTACACAATTCCTCCATATTTACCTCAATCCATCTATCCATCCAAACTGACCAAGTTGCGGCCACCACCATGCTTCACCATCGGAGAGTCACCTTCAGGGTGTTATACAGTATTAGTTTTCCCTGACATATTTTCTGGCACAAAGTCAAAACTTTCTATTTTGGTTTGTCTAATCTGACCAGAACAAACTGCTTAATGAATTTCTTCTTCTTCTTTTAACATTTGTCATTTTTTCTTTCTGAATAAAGGATGCTGTAAATTTGCTTCCTGTATGTGTTGTCAGCAGTGTGTTCATGTCTGCAGCTCTCGATCGACATGTAGGGCCACGTAGAAGGAGCAGCAGCATATTCTGCTTTCCTGCACTGAACAAGCTCATCCTAATGAGCTGAGCATGTTGAACACAAAACTAATAAAGAGCGAAGTTAGCGACCGTATCAGGCTGGAAATGTTCCAGTTGTTCCAGTTCTGTGTCACAACTGTTGAATGTTTCTGTCTGCTGTGTTTCTGAAAAGTAGGTTAATTTGAGATTCAGATCGGGCCTGAGGTGTAATTGTGTGTGTGTGATTTTCTGGAATTGACCTGCAAACGGCAGATGGTAATTAGTCTCAGCCTTTAAAAAAAAGGTGCATTAATTTGGCCTCTTCTCCACTGGTCTTATGAAGTCTTTCTCAAATTGTACTGATCCACATTTATTTGCCGTGACTTGAGGTCAAGTTGTGAAGTTAGCTTACCAAATGATTGTGGTTAAAAATAATTAAGTGGCTTAAAACCAGGTCACATCAACAGTTATTGTTTTTATTTTATTGAAAATGATGCATCTGCGAATAAATCCAGCTGATAGAAATGGGTAAAAGAACTCATATTTAATGGTGCCACAGAAAGTCAAACCTGTTTTTCTTTTATTGTGCTTCTAAATTGCAAATAACCCTAAAACTATGCTAACAGCACATGTAGTGAAGAACAACTTTTATTTTTATTTGATATCTGGAATTTGTAAATAACTCAAAAGTCCCTCAACTTGCTCGCGATTTTGTCACATTTATAAAACATGAACACTTCTAATTAGTTAAGAAACTAATACTTTCATGTCATGTTGGATATATTTAGATGTTATTGTTGTGCTTAGTGGGTGAAGTGTTTATCAGAATGAAAAAGTTTGAGAAACTGGATGATGGAATATTCTAACTAAAGCCACGAGCTTGAAAATATAATCACATTTACTAAAGTGATTATAATTTATTGAGATCTCCCTGTAACTGCGATTCTAAATGTGCTGATTTGAGTGTAAAAGCAAAGACAAAATGCTTTGTGACGATTTAAAGACGTTTCTGGTTTTGCAGGATCCACTGGGCCGGTACAGAGACCGCCACCCTGTGGTGCGGCTACATGAGCGGCGCCGTGCAGGCGGGGCAGCGGGCCGCGCTGGAGGTTCTGGCTGAAGTCAGCCATGTTGTCCTGACGCCGGAGGAGCAGGAATCTCTGATCCAGGGTCAAACTCTCCACCGTCCCCCAAAGCCGACCGCGCTGTCGGCGCTGCTCAAGAGGCTCAGCAGGAAGTCCGTGTTGATACCGGCGCTGACGATAGGCGCTGCTCTGCTGCTGGTCCGGAAACGAGACGTTCTGGTGAAGATCCAAACTTACGTAGGAGCTTTCTGAGCGATGAGGCGATACTGTAAGAACATCGTCGGGAGAAATGTCAGTTAAATTTGTTTGTGTTTGTGAAGTTAAGCTCCATGAAACGACTTAATGTTTCTAAAACTTCTCAAATCCAATCTGAAGAACAAAATAATGAATTTTTTTTGAATTAATACTTCAAATGAACACATTATTGGCTAACAAACATCAACCGTTCAATATTTGCATATTCATATTTAATTCATTCTGGAACGTAGCTCCAAATTATTTAAATGTGGAGCATTTCTGAAGCATTCGAAATAAAAAGCAGCTTCTGAAGCTAAGATAGCTAGCCACAATGGGATTGGCTGGTTGCGTTTGGAAACCAGCCAATCTGGTGGCACCGTTCACTTTCCTTGGTGCTGATTGGCTGGAAGATCATAATTAAGGAAAACCATAGATATTAGTTTCTTCAGTAGAACCAAGATGGTTTTTGTTGTGTCTATTATATTCAGGTGTGTTTTGGAGTTTAAATGATTAAAATATGAAGTTATCAGCATTTTTAAGGGGGTTTAAAAGAGGCAGCTGCAAAATATGATTTAAAAAACCCACTGACTTTCTGTCACTTCTGAGTTTATTGACTTTTAATTAGTTTTATCACCTACTTGCTATTTTCATTTGTTTACTTGTTTCTCACCAGTTAATTCAGTAGTTGCTTTTATTAGACTGTTCATCTTTTCTCTAAAGCTGTTTTACCAGATGTGATTTGATTTTTGCTGTTCATTACCTCAGTGACTTTAAACCATCCACACACTAATTCAATAATAAGAAAATAATCAAAACGACTATAATTAAAACAGCTTAAAAGTCTAAGAAATACCAGAGGCTTATTAGGTTTTCAGAAGCTGAATGGAAAGAGATTTAATAGATTTTTTTAACTTCTTGTGCCTAACTTTAGTCTAATGTAGAAAAGGAGGTGAGGCAGATGAAATTAAAATTTTCTAGACTTCCCTGCAGAGGAATTGAAAAGGGATGGCACAGCAAATATGCGTTTAATTTAAAGTAAATATATAAACATTTTTGTAATCTTTCAAATATAACATCCATCTTTATTAATACAAAATGAACAGTAAACGCTCATTTGAGCATAAACATTAGTCACATATTGCAGAACTAAGAATCTGTTTCCAATCTCTGAAGTCTGTTTCTTTAAATACAAAAAACAATCTATGCAAGCAGTACAACTGCATATCAGGGTAGCATTAATTCATAATATCACTCAAGTAAAAGAATAGTAAAGAATGCTATACATTTCCCCCAAAAAAGTTACTCAAGTAAATGTAACCAGTAGACAACAATAGAATAGACAGCAATATTAGTAGCTTATTTGATGTCATAATGACGCTTTTACTGCAAAGTTGCATTAAAAGTCAATTAAAAGTGTAAACTTTGCATTATTTAGTCAATAATTACACTTTTAATGCAAAGTTCTATAAAATTTTGAATAGAAAGTAAATTAGAAGAATCAACTTTTCATTAAAAGTGTCAATGAATGACACTTCATGACAACACTCATACATATTGGTGAAGACTCCTTCATGTTTATGACTGGTGTTATGTTCCCACTTCAAATAAAGTGGTACCGTTTATTCTTGCTAAGAAGTTTAACTTGATCTATTGGCATGAACTAGTCATCATTTAGCAAACATTTAGCATGCAGATCTGCACAGCTGCATGTCTGAGGGCTGGCGTTAGCATCTTAGCGCTCATGTTGCGTTTAAAAAGGACAGAGGGCACAGAAACAGGAAGTGCAGAAGTCGTTACTGTATCAAATTGAGACAGGAATAATGGAAAGTTTGCCTCTCTGAAGTAAAACTGCATCTGAACCATTTGAGGCACAGACTCACTTTCCACCTGTTTCTGTTTGAAAACCTTCTCCAATGTTCTCCTAAAGCTTGAAGACACTAACAGAATCACATCATCTGCAAAAAGTCGAGAGGTTTCCAAACTGGACACTTTTCTCTCTGTGGTTAAACCTTGAGAAACTGTCCATGAAAACCACAAAGGCAGACCTGGTTTAATCGAAACTGCACAGAAACAAATCTGATTTGCTAACAATGATGCATCCAAACTGACCAAGGTTCCTGTTTTGGTCATAAAAGGACCTGAAAGATGTCTTCAGCCACTATGAGAAGGGAAACAAAAGGGAAACCTTTCCAGGAAGGCAATCTCCACTCTACTTAATGTAACGTCTGTATTTAAACTTAGTTTCTTTCAAAAGAAAGTTTTAGAAATCCTCCAAAATCCTCACTTATCAAGGATAATCCCATAAACCAATCACTTCACCCTTAATTAGCTTAGAGGTGACCTTGTCTTTACACTTGAAGCTTGTAATTCACTTTCATTGATTCAACACAGACATACACTCACTGACATCCAATTCAAGGTTGATGTAGCCATTATGAATAATTAAAGCTAATTCAAAACCTCAACTTTGTGCTAAAACTGATCGACTCTAGTTGATTCCAGAGATTTAAAATAGGTTAATTACACATTTTATCATGACTTTGGTTATAAAATAACTAAGCGATGTCCTAATTCAACCCTGCATCCAATAAACCAGAACAAGATGAATAATTTGTTCCTGCCTTAAAATCTGAGTTACATGCTAATGAGGGGATTCAGCTTAGATAATTGATTCATGTAAAATTTACATTAAATTAGCTGTAAATCATTGTGGTTTTTTTTAAACATTTCTGCACAATTTCTACTCGAAATAAAATAAAATGATTGCAATGTTTTCGATTCTTTCATTATTTTCATGCAAAAATTGCAGAAATCCTTGAGATTATCTTCCTGCTGCTTGGTTTGAAACCACCTCAGACTGCTCGTGTTGAAACAGGTTTGCGGAGCGGCGACAGAGCCCAACACGGCCTCACAGATTGCCATAAAAACTGCATGAGCGGCTTGGAGCGCAGCCATGGGCCCATTTGTGCGGCTTCAAAACACCAGCAGATATTTGAACGAGTGTAAGATGGATTAACTCGTCACGCAGTAATAACATCTCCGGCTAAGTGATTTAATCAATATTACTAGATTGCGCAGTCGATTGAAAGGATTTTTGTCAGCCCGTATGTCTCCTCCAGAGAGCAACTCAAAAGCTCACTAATCACCATGAATCCAGCAGCACCACGGATCGCTATTTGTCTGTTTTCGCAGGTTTGAGCTAAATTCAGAGCCTCTGCAAGCCATGCTGAAGGATGGGTATCATCTCAGAAGTTGTTTGCATGGTTTGAAGAAGTGAAATAATGGATACAAAATACACCGATTGCGTTTTTGACTTGACCCTGAAATAAACAGCTCACACTTTTCCCCTCGTCCCAACAGCATAATTAGAAACTTAAAGATAACAGCTGTGTGATTAAATGAGATTTTATCAGTCAAGTCAAAGCAGTTTTTATCAGCATGAAGAAATGTTCGGTATTATTTAGCTTTAAGAAGTACTAATCGAGTGCAGAGACAGATACTTATTGAAATTTTAACCGTTTCTTATTGGCAGAGGCGGTCCTGACCTGTTTGGGGCCCTGGGCGAACCACCTTTATATGAAATTAGAACATTAAGCTGACATAATGTGAATTACAGTAAATTGTAATCAATATTAACATTTACTGAATTTCAATGCTTAAGGACTTTAGCACATAAGCAAACAAACATAAACAAAATAATCTGCAAACATTAAATAATTAACTTTAGAACAATACTTCTCCTTAACACTTATTTCTTTGCAATAAAACACACAACATAGCTTCACAAACTTCTGCTAGTTTGGAGAAAACCAATCTGTCCCACAGTTCAACCTGCCTGCATGCCTTCAAGGCAAAACACTGGGAAAATCTGACCCACTTCTCCTGTCAGACACTGAGAAGGGCAAAATAACCCAGAGATCACAGAGCGAAACAGGTTCAGTCATAAAAACTTTCTCTAACATCCGTTTAGCTGCATTTTCAGGGAACATTTCTGAGTGCTTGGTTGACCTTTGACCTGATTTGACAACCGCCACTGCTTATTGGGTAGTTTTATCATTTCATTTTGTGATAAACGTTTGAGAACATTTGTAATCTTGATGTGACCCTAAATGAAAAGTCTCGGCTGTTGGAAACATCCCCTCTCACCTGGTATTTTTCCCAAAATGCACTGCACTCCTGCTTTCAGCTACAAAGCTACAATTTTTGCAAAATGGTAAGAATTCACATTGAAAGGTAAAATTACAGCTTACCTGATGAATATGAGCTTTTCTTGAAAACCTGAAGGCCAATTTCAGCTTTAATCATGTGAAAAGTAGTAATGAAGCAGCTTTTAGACATATTCACCCAAAGATTAAGATTAGAAAAATGCTTCTAAATGGCTGCGTGCCACCTATATTCCATGTTTTATTTATTTCACAGTTAAAAGGAGAATAATGATAATGATTTTACAGCCACAGCCGATGGGCATGAAAACACACAAAAGGAATTTATTCATATCAAATCCTAGAGGAAGATGGTTTTGTTGATAAAATTGATGCTCTCTTTTTTAGGATAAAATGCACTAATAAATTTTTCATACACTTTCAAAGGCTTTATAGAAAAGAAGACCGTTTAGCATTTTATACAACCACGTTTAGCTCCAGCAGGCAGCCTCCATGTGACTCCTTCAGATGGATGGATAGAAGGAGCATCTTCTTTAAGGAAGGTTGCTGTAATTACTGTGGCCTCTGTAAACAACAGTCAAAGCACTTGTGTTAGTGTTTGCCCTCCGGCTCCAGCGCCGTCTTTAAAAATTCATCCTCTGCAGTGGAGGGTAATCAGTGTTTGTGACCATAAACAACTCTTTTAACAGATTACACATGCAGCCCATTTCGTAAAAGCTGCAGATTTTTCTTTTGTGCCATGTTTTTTTTTTTTTTTTTTTTACTTTTATCTAGAAATAACAGTCTTTTAAAACGAGTCTCTCTTTTGCAGTCCTTGCAAAACTGGATGAAGTATTGTTTTTAATTTGTGTCAGAGTTATGCCAGCGAAGCAATGCTGCAGCTCCAGCCGTTTGTTTTAGATTGCATTTCGCATTGTTTTCATATTTCACGTAAGTTTTATTGTTATGCGTACATCTAAACTGGTAATTATTTACACAAATTATTAACAAATCTGTGTAGCTTCTCCATCACAGAAAAATTATGGATTTTTCTTTTGCATTCTTTGTGATAAAAAATAATCTGAAAAGTGAAATGAAATAATACATAAACATGTTTTGTTAATGGAAGGTAGTTTTGGTTTTAAAATAAAAAAAAAATAATATAAATAAAATAAAATATTTTTTAAAAACTGAAGAAAATAAGAAAATTCACATTAGTTTTATTTCTATTTTTCATTTAATCCACCTGTGGTCAGGAGGAGCGCTGCAGATGTCACGGTCGGACAGCAGCGAAGTGAGGTTGTCCCGTCAGACCGTCAGTTCCTGAAACCACACACCAAAAGAAATGTCATAAAAACTCATGTAGGATCAGTGTGTGACTGCACACAGAAAAAAAAGGGTTAAAAACTGAAAGAATAGTATGATTTATTCTTTTTTGAGAGCACTTTATTCCTTATTTTGAATCGACAGCAGGCGGCTAATATGACAAATATGTTATTTTGTTCTTGACGCAAGAGAAAAATCTTCTGTAACTAAAATAACATTGGTCTATATTTTTTTTCTCAACAAAATCAGGTAAAGTATGACTTTAGATATGAATGAATTTAGCTAAGTACAGCTGGAGTTTACCACCCACACGGCTTAATTTACACTTCTTACAGTATTTCTCTGCAGCTTTACATTCTTCCAGCTAAAAAGCTCTGTTGTGGCTTTATGCTGTCTTTTTTAGCATTAAACAGTCTCCACCACCCACTGCCCAGTGAACAGCAGTCTGACTTCATTGCTTTTTGGTCAACAGAGTCAAGGCTGAGTCATAAAAAGCGCCGTCATCTCCAACACCATTTTTAACAAATCCCATTTCAACCTGGGGGTCAAACTCAGTACAGCCAATGAGCAACAAGGTGCACAAAGCTGTTCAGCTGCCGGGCGTTCAGATGAATTCAGAGAGAAGCCCGTCTCTGGTATAAAAACACACGTTGCCTGAGCAGCCGCAGCTCCGTGGAGCAACACTAATACCTTCACCATCTGGTACCAAGGACGGCGACTCGTAGTCAAAACATGGGAGTAAACAAGCCCAGTGCGTGTTAGCGATTTAAAAGTGAATCCGTGCTCGAGCGAGAGCGAAATAATGGAGTTGGATGAAAACAAGCTTCACTCACCCTGAAAATAGCTGAAGGCGCATGAAGTCTGAGCTTAGCTGTGTGAAGATAGCATCTTTCCCCTCATTAGCACAGCTACTGTAAGTTCTCTGCTTCATATGAAACAAATATTCTATAGAAAGATGGAGCCAGAGTGACCAGAAAAGCTCCAGTTGTCACTTTCAGTCCTTGTTTCATTAAAGCTGCAGTAAGTAACTCTTACAAAAGTTTATTTTTTTACATATTTGTTAAAACTGTCACTATGTCAGGACTGACAAATAGAATATGAAAAAAGTTAAGTTCCTCTGCTTTTTGCCATTTGCAGTAAAGGTGGACGAATGGATCAATCCAAAAATATTGATACCAAGTTGGTAATATCAATACTTTAGATTTAAATCAATCTCAACTATACAGTAAAAGGACTTTGCTTTGATTTGCATTTGATTTTTGCATTTATTTAGGAAACACTGCACACATTTGTTCATGGAGAAATTTTACAAAAAGTATTTTTTTCTACACCTTTAAACTTTATTTAAATTTTGTCCTGGGTTTTAACAAAGCAAGTCAAAGGAAAAACCATAAAAAACGCCTCAAAGTTAGAGGTTAGGGTCGGACGAATAGGTCCAGATTTCTCAGAACCACAACACAACTGCTGCTTTAAAAAAATAACAGCAAGGCTGAGGGAAGTACTTGACAACTTTAACATCTAGATGTGATGTTATAAAAATAAAGTGACCCACACAACTCTGACGTCTCAGTGTTTGAATTAGCTAATCAGTCGCCGTTGTGCTAGCTTAGCTAATAGCAGCAGTAGCTAATAGCAGCAGTAGCTAATAGCAGCAGTAGCTAATCTACCACACCGATCACTTCAAAAAGTAAGCATCAAGCCTAAAAGGATAAAACTGACGGACTGAATGCTCTGTCCTGTGTGTGGGAAATGTCTGAGTGTTTTTTGGTGTTGAAACCTGATGCATAAAGTGGCGTTGTCGTCAGTTGCTATGGCAACGGCCTGCATGTAGCGTAGCCGACACAGAGAGCGAGAACAACAGCGGTTTTGATTTGTTCTCTAATGGTTTTTCTGCGATGTTTTTCACTTTCCTGTGGCAGGTGGTGCTAAATCAATGATACCTTCATCTGCAGGTTTCATTTAGTTCACGGAATCGTTTTACTGCGGCAGCATGTAAAAGAATCGTCTTTTTGGCCTCCAGCGTCATGTTACCATGTTATTAAAAGCAATAACATGCAGGGAGTCCATAGGTTGAAAACATAATATTATTCTTTCAAAGCTGTATTTTATTTTGTCTCTTTTCTTGTTGTTGTGAATCTATATAATTTCAGTTTGTCTGACTTTTCTTCTGGTGTACCTGAATTATAAAGGTTATTTCTGGCTTACTCTAAAAGATGCTAGAATATGACCTTCAACATCAGGCGTTTTATTAATTAAAGCTTCATCTTACCTCAGATTTTTTATGACTATATGTCTTAAAATTGTTATTAAATGTTGAAGGAAAATGTGAAGATGTCTGGGAGATGAAATTATTTGACCATTTTTAATTGACAGGCTGGATGTAACAATTCACAGACAATCTATTATTTTTGGAAGCCTGAGGTTTGAATCCTTTCGTCTCTTGTCTTTAGTTTCAACATCAGAATTGTAATAAAATGTGAATTCCGTGGTTCAATCCACCATCTTCTGATATTCACCTTTTTTCTGTTACCTTTTTGCTTCAAAATGTTGTTTTGTTAAAAGGTTAGATATGAAGAAACGCACACAAAACATCACAACCGATAAATAAAATGTTTGGTTTTGGTCTGGTCCAATTATCTTCTCCTCTTGTGCCAAAGTAAAGGTGCAACCTTGAGTTCAAATTAAGTTAAATAGAGTTTAAAACATGTTTTATTTGTTCTTGGAAAGACTTTCAAAGATAAGGGGAAAGTGATTTTCTGACTGAACTTTTTGCAGAGCACCTGCTAAAAAAAAAATATGCTCAACATCAATATGAAGATTGAAAATATTCATCAAAAATAACATTGGTACTAAAATTCTCTAAAACAAATTAAGACATTTCCAAGCTCTTTATATTTGCATAACAGTTTTAACAGATGAATGTTAAAACCTGAGCTGAGTTGTGAAAGATGCATTATATTTGACATATTTAGCTCTGAACAGAAATTACTGTTTTGTTTTTTAACAATTTCTGAAAACAAATCGTTCCAGACGTTCCTGTGAGGTCAACCAGCCCAGTGAAGCTGCTCTAATCATTTAAATTAGAGGAATTTTAAAATAACACAGACTTTGGCAGGGTTAATTATTCCCTTTTTTCTGTCCTGTTTCTAATTTTGCCAACACATCAAAGCCGTTTGCACTTTATGAAACTAAGTAGGCAAAACAACACGAATGAATCGATTCAAAATCTTTTCTTTGGA